GGCGGTGGGGGTGGGTTGGGAGGGTAGACATGGGGGTGGTAGGGAAGGTGAGCAGGTGGGCCATAGGCTGGGGGCAGGGCGCCGTAGGAGGGGCCCTCAGTCTTCATCATGGACTGCAGGCTCTGGTAGCCCTCTCCAGACATGTAAGAGCTGGTGGTGGACATCCCTGTTATGTAGCTGGAGGGGGGTGGGGGCGGGGGCCGGTGTGGCAGCGGTGGTGGCTGGTGCACAGGGGCCGGGTGGGCCGGAGGAGGAATCTGGACTTTGGGGAGGTCACTGGCATCCACTGGGCCTGGCGGCTCAGCCTCACCTAAGGCAGCGGCGAGGGGAGGCTTCCGGTCTGCAGAAGAGAGATAAGTCAGTGCCCGGCCATGGCTCAGTGTGTCTGCTCCCTGTCAAGGGACTGGCAGGCAGTGGTGTCCCCCAGGGCCGTCCTTACAGAGGAGCAGGGAGCAGCTGCTATCTCTGTGGCCAATGTGTGTGCCATCAGGTCCCCCCGTCCCCCGCAACCTGTCAGAACCGCCCTCCCGCGCTCCAACAACCCGGGTTCTCCCTCCCTCAGCCCTGGAGCCCCCTTCTGCTTCAGGCCCCAGCCCCCTCTTCCTAGCACAAACAGTACAGGGGCTCCTCCATCTTTCTGCCTGTCTCTGCCCCCGGAGACTGAGTCTGGGAGCCAGGGCCGCATCGAATTACTGTCTGCAGCACTGGCATTTTGCAGAAAGCCCGAGAGTTGGTTAAATGAATGCCGTGGCATTTAAAAAATGTACAGGTCTCTGACATTCCCAATGTACTCATCAAAGTAGCAATTCTGGTTCTGTTTTACTGAAGAGAAGCTAGATCAAACTCCACTGCACATCTCAGACAGTTTTCTCAAAAGATGAGTGCTTGCACGTGTGCGTGTCTATGTGTGTAGCAGGGGCAGGCAGCACGTGGCATTCCTGAGACACTCCTGTGCTCAGAGCCCACCAGAGGCCCCTCCTACAGCTCTCCACAGCCCACACTCCCTTCCCCAGTGCCTCATCTGACACGTTTTGGCCTGTGATCCCTCAGTCACGGTCAGACCCCTGGAAAATGACATCGGAATACCCCACGATGGGTAGCCAAACAAACACTTAGAATGTGTGTTCTTTCCCCAACACAGCCCAGAAGACAAAATCACAGGGGGAAATTTCTGGTTCCAGAAAAGAACACAAAACAGGAGAAGCAAAGGCCATGAAGAGGGTTTCCGGTTCCCCAAGCGCCTGCCCGTGTGCTCTCCTGGATGGGGCACGGCAGGGTCTCATGGTTGTGTAGATGCCAACACTAGGTGCACAGTGCTTTTGTTCTCACCAGAGCGAGGGTGAGAATTTCAGGCTGGCCACAGATATGTCACTCGGGCTGCCTGTGCCCTACCCGGTCAGAAGGTCAGACACACCTGAACTTAGAGAACCTGCCTAGGCTCCAGTTCAGGGTCAGGTGCCCTTTGGTTCTAGAAGCTCACTAAAAAGACCCATGTGTGAAAGTGCCAGCCCCCTTTGATGCCTCCATGTGTCACAGGAGGCCTTAAAGGGTGCCTGCACGTTCCCACACGAGCCTTAATGCCACAGCAACGTAGGTCCACAAACGCGCTCTTCCACTTCTAAGAAACCAACTCTTGTAACACTCGACTCTGCGGCCTCTTCAGTCGCCAGCGCACCCAGCCTTGTCCTTTGTGACTGAGCTGGAACAGGATGCGGTCTCCCCTCAGCACCTCCCTTGTGCACACTAGAGTTCCTGACATCTCACTGCCACACACTGCCACCAGACTTCCCCTCCTAAGCATCACTGTTGACCTGAACGTCTCTCCTGTCATCTTGTGCCTCAGGGGAACCGCAACGCTCTCCTTTCTTCACTGCCCACCTTTGTTGCTGCCTCGACCTTAAGCGGTGTGTGACTGGCGGGCTCTGCTCTCTCCAACCACGGCCCCCCAGCAGCTGTCTGGGGGCGCTCCTAGGTCCCACTCAAGTCCCAGGCCCGGTCCCAGCCATCCACAGTGGGAGCCCCAGGCAGGAGCTCCTGGAGCCCTCAAGCGCAGGCAGCGGTACTGCCGACTGCCCTGGGCCCCCACGCACCACATCTCTGCTCAGTGGAGGCACAGCCCCTGGCTCAGGAGCGGGGACTGCACTTGCTGAGATGCTCCATAAATACTAAATGAGAAGTGCAGGCATCTTTTTAAGCAAGGTTCATATTAAATTGGGGATTGTGGGATTTGGCCCAAAGTGGAAAATGATGCCTCTGTTCTCTCAAAGCATATAAACCTCCACGATGGAATATGAACAGAAAGAAACCTACTCAGTGGCACATCTGCTACAGGCACACATTGCTATGAACCACATGTGCCGACCAACAGCGCAGCAGATTGAAAGAGCTGCTGCTGATAGGGCGCAGAGACGTCTCTAGAATTGCCACCAGCTTTTGGAAAACACACATGCTTTATCTTCCAAAATGGTGCCCCCGGCAAAGAAAGCTGTATTCTTTACAACTTTCCTCCTCTATTCCTAGTGATGTCACAAAGGTTTCTCAGTTCACTGTGTACTTGTTGAGAACTTTTCACTCCTTCATGTACTCGCCATGTGACTCTGAACAATTGCTTATTCTTCAAAATGCACTGAGAAGACGTCCTGCCAAAAGAAAGCAGGTGAGAGAGAGACCGGAGTCTAGTATCTACAGCAATCCTGCCTGGATCTGGATAAACCTTCAGCTGGTAGGGTTTTGTTTTCCTAAAACTGATTCTAAAACCATTTATCCTGTGTAGTTCAGCATCTCTGGATGTGAGAGGTCAGAGAATATTTAGATGAACTTACATTTTACAACATCCTCAAAATACCTGGTTTGTCAAAATAAGGACAATTTTTGCAAAATCCTCGCTCATGGCTGTCTTTTAAATCTTGGCCACACAGTCCCCCTTCTGTAAGTTGCGAGGACCTGCCACATCTGTCCTTCAAACAGGTGATGAGGACAGCTGGCCAAGCTGCTTCCGCAGATGCTTACCTGGAGGTGGGTGGGCTGGAGGCAATGGTGGGTGAGTTGTCTCAATTTTGGGAATTTTAGGTGGTGGTGGTTCTAAAAAGAAAAAGTGGATTAAAAACACCACTCATACCTTTTTACATGAAAAAGCATGTGATAAAGAAAAAAGGAAAGGAAACTATACTGCCAGAGAGTTCTTTGGGAGAGAAAGCACAGATACTACCAAGACTTTAGGGGAACTTGAAGGCTTCAGCTAAACGACATGCCTGACGCTGTTAAGATAACAAAACAAATCCAATACCAAAGAGAAAGCCACTGTCACAGCCATTTCCACGTCCACCCGGTTTCCTTGCTGACCACTGCAGGCAAGTCCCCCTGCGTGAGAACTGCAGAGCAGCATCTCAGTGCCCAGGGGTCAACCACCGGGAGTCCTCACGTGTACAGGGGTACAGAGACAAGCCTGAGGAGCAACGGCAGGTCACCGGGCCCGTGGTGCTCACAAGAGGAATTTCTACTTTTTTATTTTTAGACATATTTTTACTTTCTCTCTCACAAATACTATTTCCAGCTGGCAGCACGTCAGAGGCAGCACATTGACTGGAGTCAGTAGAGTGACGGAGGCGGGCGTGCTGACAGCAGGAAGGATCCACCACTCATCAAGGCATGCAGTCAGGACGACTCAGAGTGGAAAAAACAGTCTACCCTTTGGGGTCAGGCAGCAGCATGTAACCAGCACCCACAATGACAGTGCTAGGTCTCCCAGACAGGCTGCAGGAAGTCCAATCTCTTCTGTTTAAGAAGGCAGACAGCATGCACACTCGATGGAAAAACAACTCTATCTTTCTACTTGTTTTTATGTTGTGGCTCTTTCTTCCTGAAACATACTTTAATCTGCCTTGTACACCACTCAGATCTGCGTCTCCTCTGGCACTGCTGACCACTTTCTCTTGGTTTCCTTCCTCTCAAACACAGGCTGAATTCAAGGTCCAGGGACCTCTTCTCTCTTTACCGTCTTTCTCAGAGACTGAACCCCCTCTAAGTGGATGACTGTAAACCTACGTCTCTAGCGTCCATCTCTCCACCAAGCCCACGGGCCATCCCCAGACCCACCAGCCAGCACCTTGCACTCTACCTTTTCCCTCTGTCTCCTATAACTGGTATTACTCTCACCTCAGGCACCCACCTCCTCCCTCTCTTCTCACAGCCAGTCAGCTAAAGCTGTCTAGATCAGTGATGTCTAACAGTATAATAAGAGCCGCGTATGCACAATTTTAAACTGTCCAGGGGCCACATTAAAAATTAAAAACAGTTGAAACTAATTTTAATAGTATTTTATTTAACCTGATAGGTCAAAAATTTTATTTCAACACATAATTAACATAAAACTTTACTAACGAGATACTTCACATTCTCTTTTCTTACAAACTCCTGGAAATCTGGTGTGTACCTTGTGCTGCTGGCGCGTGCATTGCTGTGACCTCACACCGTGGGGGGCCAGCCCTGCCTGTCCTCGCCACCACGCCTCACTGAGGTGACTGTAAGCTTCCCCCCGTTTTCAACCACGTGTGCTATTTACTGCTGCCAGGAGACTGTTCGCAAATGAAACTTGCACTCCACCATTCCCCTGCTATCTCCGATGGCTTCCACTGCCGCTGCAAAATCCATATTCCTTCAGGTGGAATCTGTGATCTGGTCCTAACCCACATTTCGATCTGATCAAAAGCTATTCCCTTTCAATTCTTCACATTCCAGGACTCCTCTCCATTTCCCCCCAAATGCTCAACTCCTTTGCTCACTTGCATCCTTCTACCTAAAAGCTCCATCCCCTGAGCTCTGGCTGCTCAAAGGCAACTCCTCCTCCAGGGTCACCATGGCTTGTCTCCTGCTTCTCTGACAGACCCGCACGTCAGCTCGACCTGACTGCACTCTCCACGTGGCACGGCCCACTCTTGTGTCTCATGCTTAACGTCTGCCAATTTGGAGCTAAAAAAATTCACCTGTACTGAATTCATCACTTCCCCAAAGATACTGGGGAAAAAAAAAAGAAAGTAGCTTTATCCTAAGTTGAAGATCTCACAGCAGTTTAATGAATCATTTACTGGAACTAAGAACTAAGCAACAAAGAAACAGAAATGAGTAAATATGGTCTGTGCCCTTCAAAGAGTTCAGTTTCACAGGGCACACTGACACAAAGACAAAACATTCCTAATTTTCTGTTCCGTAATGTTTCAGATTTTCCTCCCTCCGTTTATTTCCAATATAGAAACAAATTAACCAACTTTGGGCTCTATAATTGTGAAAAACCCCGTAACATTTAGAAGAGGCCTGGCCTGCATCAGCAGCAGGGCTGGGCCACCGTGGCTCTGGGCAGCACACCACAGCCCACTCCCTGCCCTTCGCCCATCCATGCTGCTGCTTTGGGGTCCTGAGGGGAGTCCGTTGGCCCTGGACTCCACTGCTGTGACAGGCATAACTAATCTCTAAAAAAAATTGCTGAAACAGTTCTCTTACACCCATAATTATATATTATATATGTTACTGAGTTACGTTTTTATTGCCAATAAGGTTTTCTGTATTGACACCTATTGTCAGAGTACAACCTAAAAATATATGATCAGGTGATAAACAGAGAAGACGATGCACTTTTTCTTATAGACAGGGAAACGTTTTCTATGTTTCTACGTTTCTACGTTTTCTATTTTAAGGACGATCTACGTATGAAAGGAAACAATGTTGGCTAAGAATTTAAATGAATTTAAAGTTTTGTATAGAGACACATAATACTAAAAAACAAAACATCGGAATACGATATTACCTGCTGCTTTGTTCTCTTCTTTGGGAGAGACAACCTGTTGCAAAAGAAAATAAACAATTGTTAACTGAGTCCTGGTATGGTGAGGAAAAGTAAGGATTATCCAGGCACTCCCAGAATTGTGACAGAACATGGCCTCGGATAAAAATTATTTCCGGCCTGAACTTGCAGGGCATGGCACCTCATAGATCATCATTGCTACTTCCTTCCTCTTTCCCTTTTCCAAATCAGACAGAAAGACTCGTTCTTGGGAACAGCGGGTTCTTAACACTATTTCTGGCTCTCTACTGCACTTCCTACAGGGGATCCTTGGTTTTGCCAACGTGGGAGCCTCCCACATGGCTTCCTGTGGGGGCTGGGGAACAACAAATGGCTTCCTCCACTGGTCAGGGTTGCTACCATGGGGAAAATAGATTTGTGCTCCTACTACTAGGAACTTTTACAAATACCCTGTGCCATTTAAAGAACTCAACGCTCAAGAAGAGCACTGAAGAGACAATTACTCTGGCAGCCAGCATACAGCAGTCAGGGCCACTTGGGGTGGAGCGAACAGTTTACCCTTTGGGTCAGGCAGCTGCATGTAACCAGCATCCACAATGACAATGCCAGGATGCAGAAACTATATTCCCTAATAGGTTTCAGAGCCCCAGCAGAGATGACACAGGCAGTGGGGGCTGGAAGAGGAGGAGAACAGAGGAGGCCTTGTTCTCAGAGGAGCCTTTCCTTGGAGCACATGCAGTCAGACAGTGAGTTTGGGCAAGTCGCCTCCTGCTTCTGGTGTTCAGTTCCATCTAGTCAGAAATGGGGAACAGTATTCAGGTGTGGTGCTGCCATTTGGAAAGCCCACTATGTCCAGGGCCCTGCCATGGCTCACTCACCACGGCTCGTTTAGGCTGTCGGGGAGGACTAGGCTGTGGAGAGGGTTTCTTGGGCTGCTGTGCTTGCTGTTGCTGCTGCTGCTGCTGGGCTGATTGCTGGGAGTCCTTCTGCTGGGGCTGGGACGGTTCAGAGCCTTGAGACGGTTGTGACTGTTGTACTTGTGGCACTTGTGGTGTAGGCTGAAGAGATGGGGGCTGCTGCAGCTGATGGGGGGTATGATGAGGCATCTGTTGTTTTCCTTGTGAGTAAAGATCCAGGATTTGGTGGCAGATGTCTAAAATGATAGCCAACAATTATATTTAGCACAAATTGATATTTTAGATAAAATTTTACCTAGCAAAAGAATCAGTTATGATTCCCCTAGAAGGACCGATAAGCAGGAATCACATTTGCAACTTACTTCATCTTTATTATACACAACACTGGTATGTATTTTTTAGTTCACCAAAACTATGTGCTTGGATAAAGTGAAAACTATATTAGAGAATTTTAAAAAAGATCCTTCTGAAAAATTCCTTACATATGCCTATTTGGGAAAATCCATTCTTGGGACTCAAAGTTCACAGGCAAGAATAATCTTAACATGGAACACCATCGTGAGAAAGCTCAGCATGCCCAGTACCTTCTAAAACGTCAACAGGGACATCTTGAACAAATTGCTCCCACCATCTCCTATACATGGGTTTGGAGGTCCATTCTTGTATTTCAAATTTGCACAAACGTCCTGCGAGATACATCACTGCTACTGCTATGATCTCTGGTTCCCACTGCAGTGACAAGGTAGTGCACAGACTAGTTCCATAAGAAAAAAAAAAGGTTACTTGATTTGTATGAGCTAACACTTAGGATTAAACAATGCATGGAGATTAGATGCCATATCTAAATGTTAATTTGTTTATTCTCCCTTAAACATGATTAAATAAATTACTATAAATAAAAGAGCAAGTCTTTACTCTTCTAAAGGTATCAAAATAAGTTAACCATGGTTACTAAAAGTTCCTTAAAGAATCAGAAGGATTCTAGCACATTCAAAAATTGCTACATTTAGTGAAATACAAATGAAAATGGTTTATGTTCTTTAAACTTTTGAAATCCCAGCCACTGAACTGCTTCTTCAAATGAAATCTCATGGGGATGTCAAATATGAGACGCTTCTCTGACTGCTGCAGGGTTAAGGCTGACAGCAACTCCATCCACAGGCATCTGTTCCTCACCATGGCGCCTCATTAGATTCTGGGCTCTAAGAAGAACATCGAGGCTCTAAAACCATTACAGGGAAGTATATTTTTACAGAACCAAATGGGGTCTAAGTATTCGGTTGCCAAAATTCTCTGGTGTACTGTTTTGGACTTAGGTTTCAAACTGGTGGTAAGATTTCAGCATCTCACACCACCATGACATGGCAGAGCAGAAAGAAACCCCTCTACTGGGAAGCAGATGACCTGAACTTTAGCTCCAATTCTGCCATTAACTGGCTCTTCAAGTAGGGCCAAATAGTTTCCTCTGATACAAAATAAGGGGTTTGGGTTAAATGAGCCATAAAGTCTCTGCTTATTTTAAAACACTATAATTAAATCGACATTTGAACACAGGTACCTGTCATTTACAAATGTCCATGCCATTTGAACCAGCTTTTGAATTTTGTTTTTATCACCTAGAAATGGGGATAAAAGGTAAATTAATAGCAATAGGAAAAAAAACTCCACGAGAAGCCACAAAGCAGCAGGTAACCTCCTATTTAAAACCTCCTATGTACTCGGCATCATTCCAATACACAGCAAAGAGCTTTAGCCTGGGAAATGAGGACAAATGATGTGGGTCCACATCTCACCTCTGTTCTTCTTCCACATGACCTATACTGAACCACCATTTATGGGAAACCTGGCTCCAAATATAATTTTATTAGTCTATTTAAAAAATTCTACCTCATTTCCCTGTCTCTCATATTACTTGTCAACTAGATGACAGAATCTGTTTATGCATAAAAGGAAACAGCATTAACAGCTATGATATTGAATTGTCTGAGCAAGCTATGCCTTTGGTACTTTACACATTGAACTTTGTTTTCCTCTTTTGAGAAGCATAATCTGACTGTCATCATATTATAAAGACTTGATTTCAGAATGAAAAAGTTCTTTTAAAAACTTTTCTCTTACCTTTGAGTTGTTTGGCATATTTCAGTAGAAATTGGTACGGATGTTCTACCTGTAAATCAAACTTGATGGTCTGTAGTAAGATTCTCTCCAGGACCATTACTTCTTCCTAAAAATAAATAACAAATGTTGGGATAGTAATTACAATCACAAAAGTTTCAAACAGCACTAAAAAAGTGAGTTTTCTTGTCTATTTATTATCTCTTCAAATTATACTTTAAGAACTGTTTATTATTCCTTTTCTCCTCTTTCCCACTCAGGCTTTTAACATGCTCAGAGACACTACCAGATTCTGAGAGGAACTCAAAGTAGGAAGATAAAACAATCACAGGGTTAACTAAAAAAAGCCTGCAAACAAAATAAAAATCCTTAGAAATATTATTACTTTCAATACTTACATGACACTCTCTTTATAAAACTTAGCTTTACTTTATAGATTCTTTAACTGAATTGTAGTTTCTTTCAAGACCCCCATTAAAAAAACAATCCCGGAGGAATTTTCATTGAAAACATTAAGCAAGAAAGAGATTATGACAGGCAGCTTCACGAAAACTCAGACAATTAAGTTGTACCTGCGTGTGTGTGTGTGTGTGTGTGTGTGTGTGTACACAGGCACAAATAGTATGTGTGAATAGAGGCACATTATTTTTATATCTAAATCTTTCACTTATTTGAAATTAGCTGTTCCAACATCATTTGCTGAATAAGTTATCATTTCCTATTTTATTTAAAATGCTACCTTAATCACATTCTAAACCATATGTACATACACATATAAAATATTTTCTATTCATTGATCTGTTTGTCTACTTCTGTACCAGGATCAAAGGGATATGGAATGGACACAGTAGTTCCATTATGATTCCTCTTTTTCAAAAAGTTTCTTGTTTTTGCATGTCCCTTCTCACCCAAATTTTAGTGCTATTTTACTTAGTATCATCCCAGAAAAAATAAAAGCCATTGATATTCTGACTGGGAACTCACTGAATTTACAGAATTAAGGAAAATGGAGATTTTAACTATATTGAATCTTCCTGTCAAAAATTTATTTATTTATTAAAATCTTTGCAGTCCTTTAGTAGTTTTAAAGTCCTCTCTACCCCCAACAAGGTTTCTACAAGGTTTCTCCTTGGATATTTTATTTAACTGTTGCTATTGTAAATGAAATCTCTTTTATTATACTCTCTAACTACTTAATATCCCTCGACTGGTACTTCTTAAATTCAACCACTGTACAGCCTGACTGCGCCTAGCACTTAAAGACAGTGTAAAACAAAAGTAAGACGCTGTGTAGGAAGAACAATTAGAATTACTTATTTGGCATCAGAGAAGAGACTTTTGTAGAGGATTGAAAATCTCATCGGCAGTTGCATAAACCCATTAACTCCAGGAAGAGTAGACACATAGGTAACAGGTTTTCATTTAGAAGTATGGCATTACTTCATAGGATACAGAAATGATTCCATGATGATTTATTATTCCAAATAACATGGCAAGACTAAGATTTTTCTGCCCTAGTTTCCCAAGTGTTTTCTCATGAAAGTTTTTTAAAATCTTAGAAACTTTCACAAAGTATGAAAAAAAATCTGGGCTTTTTTTTTTTTTTTTTAAATTCACCTGTTATTGTCACCACCTATTTCCCAGAAGCTTCAACATTTCCTCTAAATTTAGAAACAATTCTTTTACCCAGTGTACCAATTGGCTTCCAGGCTGTATCCCATTTAGTGTCACAAGATAGCCCAAGGCCTGCCCTTTCTCTGGGTTTCAAATATTCAATCAGTGGGGGTAATTATAGGTCAAACATCATTCCTCAGGGAAGCTTTCCCTCAACCCCATATTTCTCTGGGAGACTTGTCTGGGTCTCTGGGTCGAATGCTGTCATAGCATCTTTAAATGATCCTTTATAGCATTTACCATAACTCATAATCAAAGTTATTAATATTGATTAAAATTTATCCTGTCACTCAACTGTAAAATTCATGACAGCAAAGACCATGTCTATTTTGCCAAGTATTTTATGTCTAGTGCCTAACACAGTGGCTAAAATATTTGGTGAATACATGAGAAATTAAAATTGTTGGGAAAAGCTACACAGTTAAAGCAAAGCTATTATAATTAAGGCAAAAAAAAAAAAAGTTCCATGTGATTTGTGATCTTATTTTTCCTATATACTTATATTGCCTCCCCCAAGTAATTGCCCTCCTTTCTGCCAAGGAAAGCATCCTCCACAATGTCTTCACTGCTCCCAGATTTAGGGTGCTCGCCTTTGATCCCTATTCCCCAAATCATGTCTGGGGAGGCTGCACATGGCAGAGGAGAGGGGCAAGCTGCAGAGCCCTCTTGCTCATTCAAGTCTAATTGGTATGACAATCCCCCTTTTCCTATTCTCTGGGGCATTGCAGCTGTAGAACCTCTACTTCACTGTGCCTGGACCCAGTCTTGGTTTTTGGATTTGATGATATAGTGGGTACATGCTCAAAGTAAAGGGGGACTTCTCCAAGGCACCCTGGGCCAGTACACACAAGCTGCTGCCACACGCTCTCGCTCTGCCACGGCCCCAGATCCGTGTGATGCCTGATCCTTAACCACAGCTTGTCAGCCACAAGGTTCACCTGCCCCATGACCAAGACTTGACTGAAGCACCGCATGTCTCCACACTTGGACTAGTCACATCAGGGACGCAGAGCCTCATGACTTAGTAAAAATCAAATACCCATAGCCATTAAAACTTTATCTGATGGTTGAGTTTTTGATTATTGTTAATATGAGTTCCTAATAGGTTTAAACTTTTATAAATAGGCTAATAGATTTATAATTAAGTTTAAGGACAGAGTTACACTGACAATACTTATAAAATATTAGTGTTGATCATAACCACAATATGTACAAAAGCATCTTGGGTCCCTGTTAACTACCCAAAGCAATGAGGAAATGACTACACATTTTATATACGCATATATAAATACTATTTGGCAGAGAGAAAGATAACAACTGTAAGACAATACAAGCTAGTTAGAAAAAAACAAGACCACGACTGGTGCTGAACTTCATTGCCTTGGCTTTGTTTTAACTGTGATTTTGAATTTTCCCCTATAACATTAGTCATTTACTCCACAAGTACCTGCTGAATGCCTCCTCTGACCTGACACTGAACTAGGCACTAGACAAAACAGACACACAGTCTTTGCTCTCACGGATCCTACAGTTGAAAGGAGAGAGAGTTATGTGTGATTATTTCATAAAAAATTTATCTAATGGAAACTTAAACGTGTAGTACTAAGTGAAAGAAGCCAATCTGAAAAGCCTACATCCTGTTTGATTCCAGCTCTGTGACATTCTGGAAGAGGCAAAACTATGGAGACAGTAAAAAGAACAGTGGTTGCTAGGCGTTAGAAGGGAGGGAGGGACGAATGGGCAGAGCATGGAGGATTTCTAGGGCTGTGAAAATGCACTATGTGACACTATAATGGTACACACGTCATTATACATTTGTCCAAACCTACAGAACGTAAAAAACTAAGAATGAACCCTTACATAAACTATGGACTCTGGATGATGCTGTGTTGATGCAGGCTTATCGAGTGTAACAAACGCACCCCTCTGGTGGGGGATGTTGATACTGGGGGACGCTGTGCATGGGTAGGGCAAGGGATCTATGGGAAATCTCTGTACTTTCCACTCATTTTTGCTGTGAACTCAAAACTGCTCTAAAAACTAAAGTCTTTAAAAAAACCATCAATTACACACTGTGATAAATGTTATGAAGGATAATTAACAGGTGCTAGAAGGGTTACAACAGGTGGACCTTGGCAAGAATGGAGGTGGAGGAAAAATGCCATTGGTTCCTGAAAGTGGTATTTTTAGAACACAATAAATGCACGTGTTCAATTATTTGAGCACCATTTGCTAACACTGGCAGAGGCTGTGGGGAAGGAATAGGATGGATGGTATGAACAGTATCAATCTCAGCGTGTCTGAAAATGTTGCAAACGTCAATCCTTCTGATATTCTTGGGAAGCAAAAAACACACAGCACATGTAGGCATTTCCACATGTACATGTAGCATACACACTTCTGTTTTACCCAGATGCTGGCTGGAGATGTGACCCCACCATCACCACCAAACTAAGAAGTGGAGTGCTAAGGACAATCAGAGGATTTCTGCTCATATCCATAAAACATGTTATTGTCTCTAAAGTGCTTAGAACACTACTAGACACATTAGGAAGCACCACAAGAGTGTTGGCTACATTATCTTCCCTCCTCTCTTAGAAAAGCAAGCAGTATCTTCTACATAAGGCCCTCTTAGGAGCTCAAGGCACTGGCAGACACAGGGGCCAGAGCCATTGCCAACATAAGGAACAGTTTCCCGATGCTACCCTGAGGAATCAAGATTTGAAGACAGTAAGTTATAGTTCTTACCTTTGGGTCATCTCCAAACTGGCCAAACTGTACATCATTTAATAAACTACGAGCTGTCTTGATGATATCTTTACATTTTTTTGGTGTTTCTTCTACTTTCCCAGCCAGAAATAGACAACAAGCTCCTGTCACCTAAAAGGGAGATAAAAGCTCTTGATCTTTGTTATTAAAGATCAAACTGCCAGCACCTTCATCTTGGACTTTGCAGCCTCCAAAACTGTGAAGAGTAAGTTTCTGTTGTTTAAAAATTACCCAGTCTATGGTATTTTGTTACGGTAGCCTGAACAGACTAAGATGCTATTCCTCCAGCTGCCTCAACCCTGGTTCAGTCCCTGTATCACCGAGGTCTGCACCACCCTATCTTCAGCTTCTCTTCACCACTCCAATCCCTCTCACACCCCACTCTCCTCACATAATCCCAATCACATTGGATGTCAGACACTATGCCAGGGGCACAAAACTGATTCTGTCATGGTTTTCTCCTTCAAGAACTTCACAAATTAGTAAGGAAGACATGAATATAAATCTAAGTAAAATCTTTGCACCCTGCCCCCCAAAACCAAAACAAACCAATAAAATGACCTTCCTGTTAAGTCTAATTATGTCAACTCTTTCATGAAACTATTCAATCGCTTCACTGTTTACCTACTAAAGTCAAATTTCTGTAGTCTGGTATTCAAGGCTTATCATGGTCTGACTGTGCCTACCCTTTCACCTAGGGTCCCATTGTTCCCTTCCTGCCAAATGAAGCTCCTGACTGGGCTGACAACATGCTGCATGCATCCCCTTGCATCTACTTATGCTGGTTTCTGCTGGACTACTGACCTAGCCCATCTCAGCACATCTATGCGCTACGTATCTTCAAGGCTTAACTTACTGCTGGCATCTCCTTCTCAGCATATTCCCTGCTTCCTCTAAGATGCAATTAATCTCCCCCTTGAATGCCACAGCCCTCTATCTGTACCTCTCCCATGGCCTCACTTTCTCCCATGTAATCTGTACTTGTCATATCACCTACTCTGGACTAAAAGCTACTTGAGGCAGCTTCCCTCTCTGGATTTCCTATAGAGAACAAGAAAAAATGCAGGGTCAAGGACTAACTGAAGAATGAGTGACATGGTTAGAGAATTTCCATCCCCTATTGCTTTGTTGGTCTTTGTTGGGTCTCAATTATAAGGCCGGATTTATCTTGGGAAAGGTAACAAGGAAGTGAACTTTAATACAAAGTACAATATGACTATGGTCCATACTAGCCTAAATGAAAACAGATTTGAACATGGTTAATTGGAAAAAACAAAGTTTAAACCTGTTTATATCTAGTATATACCATATAAAAATAAATATTTTCTGGAAAATATGATAAAAAGAGAGACTACAATTAATCCACCCAACTGTGTGGAAATAGTAACATATAACAGAGAATTACAACAAAATTCAAACACTTACATATCTTGGGAATTGCTTGAAGGAATGAAACATATAGAAGCGATGAAAATAAATTATTCCAGTTGCCAGAGTATCATAGTGTCTGTTGTTCTGGTTAAGGACTCTAGTCAATAACTTTATAGGTATGTTCTTAGTTCAATGCAGAAAAACAAATAAGGACAAACAACAACAACAAAAATCAGTGATAAACAGTATCAGTGGCAAAGCAGGCAGACGGGAATCGTAGGGTGTTGGAATTCTGGTACAAGAATTAGTGAGTTGAAGTTTTATGCTTTCATAAGCCTTTAGAAACACTTCAACTGTGATCTTAATGGGCGCCTGTTTTCCTTCTGGGTGGCCACAAGCTCAATGGCTAAGTCTACACTTTTCAATGATAAACCTGAAACAAAAAAACCCCCTGAAGAGCCAGGCAAAGCAGGAACAACATTTAAATAACACACATATTTAAGAACGGTTCTGGTGCAGAGAAACTTCTGTACATTTTGTCTATAGTATCTACTCTAATTCCTGGCGGCAGCAGCGGAGCCTATCTACAGCAGATTCCCAGGAGTCAGGATACAGCCCCAAACGTGTGCCCACATCAAAGATGAACCGAGCCCCCTCTCGGCGGTACCGGGCCTCAGTGGCTGGATCAAGTCCTTCGAGTTGCGAGGGTGTATGAGCCAAGTCTTTCTTATCCCAGTACCAACATGGTTTTGTGTGGTCCAGGTTTGCTGAAGTTACTGAAGGGCTTGAATTTTCTTTATTCTCCTTCATTTATTGAAGTAGACTTGTTCTTTCCCAAAGGTTCTCTGAAAATGTTAGAATCCTAAGAGAAAGAGAAAAAGAAAGCAAAGCGGGAAAGGGATATTCCACACTGTAAGCAATCCCAATCATCATGAACAATCTACAACCTTAGATTGTATGTGATTTGGGTTGAAAGTTTCCCACAGAAACTACACTAATCCATTGCCCAGGCTAACCTCCAAGGCCAATTTAACACATACTATAAGGTGACCCCAGAACTAATAAATCCCGAATTTCATGGCAGTTCACAAGGAGGAGCATTTCCTCCCGCTCTTTTTCTAAAGGATGAAAGGTGTTTGATAAAATTTTGGAAACTTAGTACATCTCACTTCCCTCCTGCTTTTCTTCACCAGACACAGTTCTCTAATGCTGGTTTAGATTCCATTCTTCAATAAAACACGGGCCTGTCTTAATCCTCTAGAAAGATTTATGCTCCATAATTATCCATCTCTTCCATCCAGCATCTGATCAAATTTTCCATTTTTTATTTTGATTTCTACTTAGAAAAGCCATGGGACTGGGTTAATTCACATCTGCACAAGTCATTGAACTGAAGAATATAAACCAGGTGTGGGCCAGGTGTGGGTGTAGTGATTCGGGGGAGTAGGTGGAAGGAGGCAGTCCATGAGGGATGGAGTTCCTTTAAATCGTTCTTGCTTTCTCATCCTCTTTCCCTTCTTTCATTCAGAATAAAGAGATTGTCTAAAAGCTCCATGTTGAGAGAAGAAAAAAAAAAACAAAACAACCTGAGTATCTCATCTAGAGGCTATTGTAATACGTAAGTTGTTTGTAAACTGGATCAGAGACAACAGAAATTTTCAAAAGGGCAGCAAAAGGGTTCCAAAAGAGGTGGCCAGAACCAGGATAGGCTCGTTACCCAAAAAGCAAACCAAAACAGCAGCAAAGCAGTTCTGTGCCCAGGGCCCCCATTAGTTCACCTTTTTCTGTGTACCTGCCTCATTTCTGGTGGGGAAAACGACATGGCAGTGCTAAGTATTCTCCTCCTTGTATCTTGAAGCTCTGAAGGGAATCTGGTCTTTCCTCCAAGAGGAAGAATTAAGTACCTGAAGAAAAGCAATCTGCTTGAACTAATAATTTACATTTTTGTGTGTGATTGATTAAACTGGGCTATGCTGGGGGCGGGAGGAAGACAGACCAGTTAATTAAAGCCTCAGAAAATATGACCAGTTCGTAATCAGATATCATACTGAAATATATTTCTCACATATTGGATTGGCAAAAATCCAAAGGTTTGACAATTTACTCTGTTGGCAAGGCCAGGGAGAAGCAGGTAATCTCATATGTTGCTGGTGGGAGTATGAATCGGTACAACTGTCACAGAGGGGAAGCTGGCAATATCTAACAAAATGACACTTGCTCTTTGACCTAAGCAACTCCACTGCTAGAAATCTACTCTGAAAATACTGTCACAATTATAAAACATACGCTCAAAATTATTCACTGCAGTGTTATTTATAATGGCGAAAATTATAAACAATCTAAATATCCATCACCAGGGTGGAGAAAAATACGGTACATGAATATGACAGCATACCATGCAGCTATTAAAGAGAATGAGAAAGACCTTTAAGTACGGGATGGAGAGATCTCCAGGGTCAGCAAGCTGTAGGACAGTATGCGTAGTACGTTAGCACCTATGTGAGAAAAGGGGAAAGAAGAATAGACATCCCTAGCTTTTAAAAAGCTAAAAAAATGATTACCAATAGGGAATGGGGAAGAACAGAATGGAAAGAAGAGAGATGGGAACAAGACTTCTCTGAGTATATATCTTTTTACATAGCTTTGACTTTTTACAAAACTTTTTGTTTTAAAATAATTGTAGATTTACAGAAGAGTTATAAAGATAGTAAAAGAGTTTTTGTCTATACTCTTCCAGTCAGCTTCCCCTAATTTTAACATCTTCCATAACCATGCATGGTACATTTATCAAAACTAAGAAATTAACTTTCCTACAGCATTGCTGAGTAACAGAGGGCAGGTGATATCAGACCTTGTTACTGCTGATGCTCACCATCATCTCTTGGCTAAGATGGGGTCTGCCAGGTTTCTTGCTGTAATTTAAGTAAATAATATTTTTCCCTTCCCATTTTCTGTTCCTTAGAAGCAAGTCACAAGGTCCAGCCTACACTCAAGAATAAGGGAAATTAAGTCCCACCTTCTGCAGGGAGAAGTATCCAAGAATATGAGGACGTATGTTAAAATCACCACAGCAATAAGTAAATATTTTGGGGGAAATATTTTACAATGTAAAATACTATGCGAATACCTGTTTCTCCTTAAACTTTCATGCACCAACTTTAGCATTCATTTGAGGATCCTGCCTGCAACAATTATTGTGGTGCTCTAATGGTGATTTTCTATTTCCTTCACTCCTTCAACATTTATTATTTGGAATTCTTTTGTAAGAAAGATTTGTTCCTTCTCTCTCATTTATTTATTCAATCATTGCTTTTAGCATGGACTTGTGGGTTCTTATTTTGTGGGTTATAATCCAATACTATAATATCATCATTTACTTTGTTGCTCAAATTATTCCAGTGTGGCCACTGGGCACTCTTTCAGGTTGGCTCCTGAGTCCTTTTGTAACTTTAACTTTTGAATCATGCAAATATTTAACCCAATCATGAACTTAACTAAAAATAAAAACAAATCCTAAAACTCAAAATAAACCCACTGTACACCAAATGGGCAATATAAACACACAGAAAACTATTTCAAGTAAATTCTGATCTTGTTTCATCCTTAGTGATATACATTCTAAGAACAAAAAGAATTGCAAAGAAATCTTAAATTTCATTAATGCACTGTTAGTAGTAGCACTAATATTATTATTTTCAAACATTTTTTGTATATTGCAGGATAAAGCAAATATGTAAATATGTTAACAGTGTTAGGAACCAAGATTTCCAGTGCAAAGGAGACAAACATATACATGCACAAGATCAAATGTTAAAAATATCAAATTAAATCATGGTTAAAAACATAGACATGTATATCCCAGGTCTGTCAGTTTTAAGTACCAAGAAGCATTGACACCCCTATAAGGGACGTGCCTAAATACCAAATCTTAGTTTTTCAATATCATCACTCTCTAAAGGAACCAGGCTTCTTTCCAGTCTGGGGTAGGGGCCTGCCTGGGATGTACTCAGACTAACCAAAGCTTATCAGAAGACACAGGAGCCAGTATGATGGGTGCCCACTGGACAAACTGGGTAATTTGAAGAGTAGAAAGAAAAATGACTGTGGCTGATCGTAAAATAGTGACTAAACAATCCATGAGTCCATAGTAATATTAATATAGAAAAGGAATAAATCCGCTTTGCTAGCACTGGTAATAACCGCTGTTAAAAAAAAAAAAAGGATCTTTATCTTAATAAAATGATCAAACTTGGTATCACTAATAGGGTGATAACCTGCCATTAAATGCCTTCTGATGTGATGCAATGTGAAATAAATATTACCTAGCCATGTAGTCTTCTGACCCCCAGAAAGCTTAACCTAAATTCAAGCAAGCTTTTAGACCTAACTTCCAGTTTACAATAACTACTGGAGTTAGAAGAACAAGTTAAATGGGACAACAAGGAAACTATCAGTCACATCTAGAAAGTGGGACACTCTACTAGACAACTGACCTGGTCTCTTCAAAAAAGTGAATGTATGAAAAAACAGAAAGATGGGAGAGACTGTCCTCAATTTGAAAAGGCTAAAGAGCCCTAACAACCAAATGCAATGTGTAAATCTTGATTAGATTGTTTTTTTTTAAAGCTATAAAAGAAAATTCAAACCATTAGGGAAATTTTATTTATTATAGATATAGACTGTATATATAGAGGATATTAGGGAACTACGTCAGTTAATTTTCTTACGGGTAATAAAGATACTGTGATTACATAGGAGAATGGCTATTCTTAGCAGATGCACACTGAAGTATTTTGAACAAAGTGTCATAATGTCTGCAACCTACTTTTAAATGATTTAGGTAAAACACAATCACATGGCAAACTATTAACATGTGTTTAGTCTAGACCATAGGTAGAAGAGTAGTCATTGTACTATTCCTTCGTGTAATAAAAAGTAGGGAAAACAATCAGATGGGACTGCTTAGGAGATCAGGAGGACTCCTTATATCCTTATCTCTTCTAGGTCAGAATTTCTTAACAGCCAAGGAATATTTGCTCATGTGTGGGTAGTGATTTTATAAATTAAGGCATTTTTAACTGAATTATAGCATACAAAAAGAAAAGTGCACTAATTATATGTGCATAGTTGATTAATTTTCACAAAGTAAACACACCTGTGTTAACACTACACAGTTGAGAAACAGACTATTACCAACATCCCAGAAGCTCTCTTCGGTCCTTTCCTAATCCCCTAAAGAGAACTATTACCCCGACCTCTACCTCCATCATGAGTTTTGCCTGTTTTGAAGGATTGTGCAATGACGCAGTGTCACTCTTTCACAGCTGGGCTTCTTTTACTCAATACTGTTTGTGAGATTAACTCCTCCTGTTGCACAGAGTAGTATTTCTTTATTCTCATTGCTGCATAGCAGTGGTTTTCAACCAGGGGCAATTTTGCTTCCCAGGGGACATTTGGCAATGTCTTGAGACATTTTTGGTTATCATAATTGGGGGGCTGCTACTGGTATCTGGTGCGTAGAGGCCAGCAATATTACTGAAAATTCTGCAATGCACAGAGTAATCTCCCATAAGAAATTATCTTGTCCAACATGTCACTAGTGCTAAAGTTAAGAAAGTTTGCCATACAGTGTTTTATTCTATAACACAATTTATCTATCCATTCTACTGTATGGACATTTGAGATGTTTCGGTTCTTGGTTATTAATAAGTGTAAAATATTTATGTACATTTTAGCAAGACAGAAGGCAACTGGTCAATTGGCTGAGGAAATCAGTATCTTAGCATATTAGCAATTTATTCATGGTATACTAGTTGGAAATCACTACTTTAAGATACCTAAACCTAACAGCTCTCCATGTAC